CGAGTCCTGCCACCCAATAGCAACTGAAACGAGGGTTATTTTGTGAGACTACTGCTGAAATCCACCAAAACTGCTAAGACACACATGGTCGCGAAAACCGTAGCTTTTTCGTTTTGTCTGTGACGAACTGAGTTCGCTGAGGTTGATAGATGCTGGATATTGGTGATTTGAGTGGGCGGGGATGTGACAGAAAACCTGGACCACATGTGTCAAAAGAGCAAAGTGCCTTGGTAACAAAGGTATACTGTAGCTGTGTCTGTTTATGCCGACAACCTGTGGTGACATAAAGCGCGAAATAAAATGGTGTAATCTCATTTAATGAATAACTCGCTAATCCGGCCGAGCTCCGTCAACATAAGGAGGTATCAGCGTTTATTCTCATGGACGAATATATGGTCCAGCTACATATTATTAGGAATTTGTGAGGTCTTTGTATGCGGGTTACTTGCTCACACCTGAGAGTAAACATCTTTTTACCGAGAATCACCACTTTTCAGTTAACGCCGAGTTCGTTGGGAATAGATAGGTTGTGTGGTGTCCTTTGACGCTCGCGCTAGTCAACGCGCTCAGGGGCTCGTGTGTTAAGGCCGGTGCCTACCTTCAAAACAAGCTGGATTTGGAGCAAACAGTCGGTCAGGCAGGTGTTTCGTAGCTGTGAAAAACGTATGCACACTGGTCACCGCACACTAGTTCGAGGGACCATATCTACTGTAAGTTTTAAATGGTTTTAGTCCGAATCTGGTATTCAGGGTTGAGTACGGATGGTCTTCGGAGAGGATATTTGTCCATAATAAACTCCTCAACTTGCTTTACGTTCAATCTACAGTGCATCTGGTCTGTTCTGTTCATAACTATAAACTTGTTTTTCAATTCTTTGTCCTTCGGACAACCTGATGTTTGCATACACCCGTGAGCGCGCTGCTACTTACTCCCAGAAGCCAGTAGCGTAGTGTAAAATAAATGAAAATGGTTGTTTTTCGTAACTATGTTCCGTCGTTGATTTTAGAAAGCTCAGATTGTTGTATTGATACTCTTGTTGTTGTCCACTGCCCAAAAAAGAGACTACCTCCTAGCCTATGCGACGGACCACTTTTGAGACACCTTTTAGTCCATATTCCCCCCATAGAAGACCGGAATCGTTATCCGTTCCGCTTGCCCGAATCAGAGGCAGGCGTCCAGAAAGAACGATGTCCGTTTCATCGTTATTATTCGATGTGTGTGATTTTATAAGTTAGTTTGTACGCGTGCGCCACAGACTAAACGGCGTCGAGCCCAACCGCTTGCTGTAATGGATGTCGAATTTTATCCAGATTTACTCTCAACTAGTGGTTTTTGAACTTCACGATGTTTTCCAATTTCCTTACCTTCAGGATTTTAAACGTAAGGAAATGTCCTCATCAACTTCGACGTTCTGCGACGTTTTGTCGCTACACTATCGTTTGTGCCTTACGCGTGCAATTATAAACATCGTTTTTCGGTTTAGCTAGCGGTTTCGGCTAGCAATGACCACGTGAAAAAAACGGTCCAAGGCAAAGTGGATCGGACTGATACGTGGCACACCTTGTGAAACTATATGGTATCCAAATAGCACAACACTAGCGCTTCAGCAACATGAACTCACTCACCCGAAAGTTCATGAGCTAGAATGAAGAACCGAAGGGTATTTATATGAAGGTCGCAACATAGTAAGGCGGTGTCCATTTGAGAGAGATCTTCGGCCTTGTGGAGCTGTATTCAGTATCACTTATCCGGTTCAGTAGACTGTATTATTTTTTCGGCAATTTTACTATTTGGCCAACAGGGTACTTGAAAATTTCACTAAATGCCACCTTTCGACGCATACGCTTCGTCCTGCTGTCGTTTTCATGAAGTGACCGTACCAAATTGTTGCACTTTCGAAAAGTCAGGTATACTTGACGTTCAGAGTCGCATGCATTTTCTCAGCTTCAAGCAGCGTCCGCTTCTCTACCAAAAGGCCTTTGGACAGAATTTCGGTACACAATTCCCTCGAACTTTGTCACCTCACTCGATCGCGCCTTGACGTCGAGTGTGTTAATGTCGTAACGCTAGTTGCTACATTGTGGTGACACGTGACTACTGTAGTGATGTGCTGTTGGCTCGGGAATTCAAATTAATTTATTCTGCAAATACACTCATTTGTATCCCATTTCGGTCTCAACCTGAATCTCTTGTTCGATGTTTATGTTTCAGCTGGTACGTTGTTTGAGATATCGCAATACACTATCTAGACGCGGTGAGATGGCTCAGCGGTTAGAGCGCGAATTTCCTGACCGGAAGGTCCGTGGTTCGAACCCGACCTCTGCCTTCTCCTGTCTAGGCTTGGACAACCTGGCAGTATCCCAGCTCTCGTGCTTCCTTCCGGTAGCACACGACTCGTAGGGTTGCTGGGGGCTCTGGTGAAAGGTCAGGTAGTGTACACAGCTATAGATCGTTCAAATCCACGTACGAAAGCGCAACGTACTTTCATGTCTGTGCCTTTGGTTTTTGGTGGCCTACCTTCATTTATCAAGCGACCCATAATAATCACATTTCCAGGCAGGATCAGTCGAAATCTGGAATGTGGACACAAGCTGAAAATCTTCTATCCAGGAATACGAATCATGAGGTTGTTGAACACGAGAGATTCAACTGAGTTCCGGATGATTTTCCCATCGAAATAAATGTAGTATGTGGATGAGTGTGCAAGTCCAACTTCTCTCCGGAAACTCCCGCTGCATCCTGGTAATCAATATCATTATTCCTGTGGTGAAGATGGATTAAGAGAATTAATACGGTGCCAATACGTAAATGTATATCTATTCTTAAATTGCTCCAGGTTAGTCATTAAAATAGCACATTCTGAGACGTACCTTCCAGAAAGACCAACACCGTCACGGTACTAGCTGATTCTAGATTGCCTACCAGTATTTGATTGGTGGTTAAACGGTCCCCTTCCCAAAAGTTGAATAAACTCCCAAACGGGGTTAGCCTGAGCGTTCCCACCGTTTTAGTGACTGGTATCGTCAATCATAAAATCACACTTTCTAGATGCTAACACAGTGGCTTGCGGCTCAAGTGTCATGCCGAAATTTTCTACTAGTATGTCTATCCTCAGAACAGCACACCTCAATGTCAGCTTCGGGTGTCATGTTGGAACGTTTCAAGTGAAAGAGTACCACCACTAGTAGCATTTGAATTCTTGTGTTGGTCACATTCGGTTCCGTTCTAAAGACCCTCTTTTCGTTTTCATTGTAAAAACGTCGGTCCGTATTCAATTTGGAATCTGTGTGGCAGTGTCTTTGTAATCGTTGAGGGTGCGCTCTTTTTTTGTGAGGAATGGGAGTTAGTAAATTTAAACTATTGAATCGGGAATGTCTTTCTCAGTAACACTCTTGACAGCTTGTCCGTGATCCGCGGTATTGGTTGCAAGATTTTATTGAAAATATCAGTATAAGCGATTTTTTTGTTAGGACAGCATGAACACAAGGTGTCATAATCGTCATCCACGATATGACATCAGTGTTCAACACCGATGGTTCACTGCCGTCCAACCATGATTTTATTCGATATCCTTATTGTGAAGAAAACAATAAGGGTGGATAGGGAAGAGACTTGGTGCTGGTTCACTACAATCGTTCCGAGGCGCATACATCTCCAGATGCTCATTCAGGCCGTCTGGACAGAAACTGACAACAAGAACGCCACTGACATGGGTTGGCAGCCATATCTTGAAGTGTATCCAACCAAGCGCAGTGAGGATCACGCGGTCCCTCATCCAGGAAGCTGGCTAGCACCGAGAGCACCCATACGTTTCGTAATTTGTTTCATACTTCTCTGCCAGGTTTAGGGCTGGCTGCCTATCTACTTCCGTCACTCTGAGTTTGGCGTGAAAAACAGTACTCTCTTCGTCAAACGATGATTAGGCATTCGCAACACATGCTCCACCCAGCGCAGCTTCTGGTGCTGGACACAAGATGTAGCGCTGCAAGAGGTCAGTGGGTGGGTGATATGTAGTTGCGAGTAGGACTGGAACGTTCCAGTGGCAGACCAGTCAGATGAATTTTCTTTAACATGTTGAAAACGTATTCTGCGCACCCATCCCACTATCGTGCAGCACTGTCGCTATAAGCGGTGATCTACACCGACGGAGTGCGACAGAATAAGATGAAAGGCTTTACGGCTAGTTTATATCGTCACATTCTGCACCGTATATGTGGTGTAGCTGGCGGTTGGGTTGAGACATCTGGATATTGATCAGGTATACGTTCTGTTGTGTATCAATCCCTCATCTTTTAATCTTCTGCTGTGTAAATGAAACTTCTGGGTTCCATATGTTTAACTAACTCTCTATCCATTCTCATAGAGTGTCATTTTTACAGGACCTTCATTCTCCTGTAAATCAGTTTGTGAGTATTGCAATTGCAACATAGTTGCAGTTATTTGTACGACCAGTTTATCCGGCCTCCGGGAACTTCATTATTGGCCTTGCGGTCCTTTTGACCGCACTTCTCACGTTCCCAAGGAATAGCACCTTTTAAGCATTCCCTCTGTTTCATATAGATGAGATCATCATACAAACTAATTTCAGCCTTTTTCTGCTCACTTTCGGTAAATTCCGTGGTCGAATGATAAGCATTTGCGCGAACCTTCGACCAACTTAGTCGCAAATGGACGATTTCAAGTTAACGATTGATTTATCCCTCCATTGCCTAGACCTCAGTCCGTCAACTTCTGAACTGAACTGAATAAATGTGTAAAAAAAATAAGGTTGTTTCCGCACATCTAATTTTGTTACTTTTAGTTTCTGTTCGTTTGGTACATTCGGTACTACATCCGCAAATGAGACGAACCACAAGGGAGCAATTAGCACTTTACCTAAATCATGTCGCACTATAGGAGTCTACTTTTTGTCAATTCACCACACGATTGAAATCACACCTTCTCGGTGTCCTTCAATTACTTTGTTTGTCTTTTACCCCCCCCCCCCCGGGTCGTTTTAGCCACTTGTCCAATTTTATCGAACAATAAACGAATGTTGGGATCCCGAACCGGAAGCTCGTCTAACTGCCGATTGTGTTCTCGAACGACTGCATGTTCTTCAGACCGAGCTGGCCAAAAGTCATTTTCTGAGGACTAGTGCGGTTACCTCCAATTCTTGACCAAAAATCTTATCTCAGCTATTCGCCGTCCACCAGGTTCCCGTTATTAATCTTCTTCAAAAAAAACCAGTTCGTTGGTTTCAGCAGACTTTGCTTGTTGCATCAGGTTTCTAACCAGATCTCTATGAAATCAAAAGCCTTCTGCCTACCGATCACCAGTTTCTCCGGCTGATGGTGTTTTGCCTATCTCCAGGGATTTTCATTAGCCTCACCAGTAGCCAAACTCGACTGGTTCTATTGTCACACCGGTACTTGACTCCAGTGCGGTTTCCCATAACCTGTGACTACCCATGTATCCTATTTTCCCATTCTCCAATCCCACCACGCTGTCACCAGTCGGTTGTCCAATAAATGTCCTTGCTTTCGTCCAATAGAACCCTCGAGATGTTATGTAACGATAGTCACTGTATTCTACAACTATTCCCATTTCATCTGACACTTTTTGTCATCTTTTTTTCACGTGTACAACTCAGGTGTTTTTCTCTCCTAGACCGTTTTCTTCAGCTTGTTTTGTCGTAATTAGGCATTATCTGATCTCGTCTGCTAGTCCGACACGTGCGTCTTCAAGCACATGGTGAATACCAATCCCAGAGACATCCGTGTACACAGCTGGCCGTCTGTTGTATATTCACCCCTTTTACCCATCCACTGTTCTGTTTCAGTTTTTAATTGTTGGACCAATATTCCGGCAGTTTCCCATCCATTTCATCCAATGACGCGCTTTCATTTCGAATCAGATTTTTCTCATTCGCCCATCACCGAAATACCAGCACCGTTTCGCTTTTCTCCTTTTTCACTGGCGTTTAATAAATACGTATATTTATTTATGTACATCTGTGGCAGTTCTTTCCGTTTTTTTCTTCATATTTGCGAGCAAGTGTGCCATAAAACCTTGCAATTCGAATCGAAATTAGAGTGCCTAAATATCATGAGTGGCAAATAGGACTTCCGAGTTCGCGTGCACATCATAATTAAAGAAATGTCTCACTCGTTAACCAAACGTGGTAGTGGCTTTTTGATTTCAACATGCAAGTTTGTGGCAAGTGTCCAACTGAACAAGGTAGTTGCTTTCACATCTCACCGGTTCCAAATACACATATCAAGCATATCTGTTTAAATTCGCGGAATCAACCAACCAATCCCTGTGTTGCTGCTTTGCTTTGTCAATGCGCTGCCCATCACTGAATTTTAATCGTGCCTCAGTTGGAATGTCTTCAACACTGGATTGGCGGGTATCTCTCTTTCTCCCGAACTCGTAAAAGAGTGCTGTTGAAGCATGGTATTTTCTAGCAATATCTGTACTGCTGAACACGTTGTTTCTCCCCTGTGGTTCCAACAGCGTTGGTAATTTGTCAGGCTATGTAGGATCTGTTGGGAACGATTCCAAATGGTCTAGTTTCGTTGTAAACCTAAAGGTCTCACTTTGCAGTCTGACAAATTGAGACGCATGTCTTCATAGCTGAAGCACAGACGTGAAACACGAGGCACCTGTCGCGCTGTACATCCGACCGACGTGCACGGCAAAAACGACCGGTTTCCGTGGATGGGTTCCCAGTGCCAGATGCGGTAAATCAAGATATTTCGTATAGAATTCAACATATGAACACTACCTCCTGACCTCGGGTCTGTTTCCCGATCAACCATTAATCGCAGAAGTTGGACCACGATGAGCCCCGAATTATTCGCCGAGGCTTCAAGTTTTGTTGCAAATGTTCTGTCTCTGGTCGAGGTGGCACCAGGGACATTTTACAACATGGTCTGCCAATAGCTCAGGTGGCGTAGATGGTCGTTGGCTTGTTCGCTGAGCTGGGCAATTTGGTTGCAAACGTTTCATCACCAATCGAGGTGACATCATCAGT